TCTCAACTAGTACATATGAAAAGACTCTTTGCACACCCATAACTCGGGGCTATACCTCAAATCAAGATGGATACATCTCGCAGTACTAACATACTCATCACATAGTTATCTAGCTATCACTCCCACTAATAGGGACACTACCGAACATATAAGTTCAAAAATACTTGCTCACACAATCAGCACCTCGGTGCTCAAGCTATAGGCAAAAATTCGGCCTCAAGTCCTCTAGACTGGCCCAACATCAACACACATAGATCGTATCTTGCCCCTCAATCGGGGAATCACAAGCCATTAAGGCATATCTGATACTGAGCGCTCATGCACGCATATGAACGCATGGAAGGAATTCAAAGAGTTACATTTCAAGCTGAATCAAAGAACGCGCGATAAGAATTCAAGAATGTGAAGTTTTCCTAAAGGTTTTGCAACCTCTCGAGGATAAATACAGACGTCTCCGTACCGATCCGTGAGACTCTACTAAACCTGCTCATGACTCGTGAGACCTATGTAACCTAGGCTCTGATACCAACTTGTCACGACCCAAACCCTGCTCCGGTCGTGATGGCGCCTCTCGTGAAGACAAGGCCAGCCAACAAACATATATTGCCTTTTCAAAAATAGTTAAACATTAATAAACAGTTTAAATATGATTTAATAATATAATTAACAGAAGCACAACCCGACACAGCCCTAACCGGGGTGTCACAAGTCACAAGCATCTACTAGGGTATAAATACAACTGAAAGCCTGGAGTGTACTAATAGAGACTAATGAAATGAGGAGAGAGAAAAGCAGTGCTGCTAATGCCGGCAGCTACCTTGCTAAACCCTGATGACTCTACCTTCGATCAGCCAAAACATACCTGAATCTGCACAAAAGGTGCAGAGAGTAAAGTGAGTACTCCGACTCAGTGAGTAATAATAATAAATAAAGACTGAAGGCAAGAAATCACGCAAAAACACAAGGTATTCCATACTGAAGCAGTAAAATCACTTTAAACAGTAAAGCAGTGAGAAATCAAGTGAAAATCCCTTTTTCCAACAAGTAAAGCAAGTAGTTTACAAGTGTAACAAAAATTATAGAAATGTAAACAGCCCCTCGGGAAAAACATGTACAACAAATCGCCCCTTGGGCATAATATCAATAGAACCAGCCCCTCGGGCTCAATATCAGAACAGTGCCAGCCCCTCGGGCTCAATATCAGAACAGTGCCAGCCCCTCGGGCTCAATATCAGAACTGTAACAGCCCCTCCGGCTCACTCAGAATAGTAACAGCCTCTCGGGCTCACTCTCGAAATAGTATCAGCCCTTCGGGCTACTTCACAATCACTCATATCACATAGTATCAATCACTCAGAACAATGGGTACCCGCGCTCACTGTGGGTGTGCAGAATCTGGAGGGGCCCCTTAAGGCCCAAGCGCTATATCAAGCCACCTCGTGGCATCATCACTCAGCATATCCTCACATCACTCAAGCCACCGTGTGGCATAGAAAGTATCTCAGGCCCTCGGCCTCATATCACTTGGCCTCACATCACTCAAGACACCTCGTGGCATAAATAGTATCTCAGGCCCTCGGCCTCATATCACTCGGCCTCACATCAGTCAAGCCACCTTGTGGAATAAATAGTATCTTAGGCCCTTGTCCTCATATCACTCGGCCTCACATCACTCAAGCCACCTCGTGGCATAAATAGTATCTCAGGCCCTCGACCTCATATCACTCGGCCTCACATCACTCAAGCCACCTCGTGGCATAAATAGTATCTCAGGCCCTCGACCTCATATCACTCAACATATCCTCATATATGGCCCTCGGCCTCACTCAGTCCGGAAATCATCATAAGCCCCTCGGATATTTGTAAAACAGTAGTTCTCAGCCCAAAATACCATTTAGAAATATCATTTGAGTTTTCAAATCTGCATAAAAGCGGCTGAGTTTGTAAAACAATAATTATCAACATGACTGAGTTTAAATATAAGTCAAAACAGTTAGGAAATAGAGATAAAAAATTCCCAAAGGATTAAAATAATTGGCACGAATCCCAAATCATGATGATAACAAATAAGTTTCAATCAAATTTGAGGTAAAATCATCAATTGGGATGGACCAAGTCACAATCCCCAGTAGTAAAAGACCCCGCGCTCATCATCCAGCGCGTGTCTCACCTCAATATAGCACTACGATGTGCAAATCCGAGGTTTCAAACCCTTAGGACATTATTTACAATCATTACTCACCTCAAACTGGCCAATCCTCTAGCTCGCGATGCATTTGTCTCTCAAATCGACCTCTAAATGCCTCAAATCTAGCCACAATAATTCGATTCAGTTAATAAAAATTATAGGAATTAATTCCATATGAAATTTACATTTTCTATTAAAAATCCGAAATTATACTCAAAATTCGCCCGTGGGGCCCACGTCTCGAAACCCGATAAAAATTACGGAATATGAAACCTCATCCAACCATGAGTTCAACCATACAAATTTTACTGAAATCATACATCAACTCGACCCTCAAATCTTCAAATTAAGCCAAGAGGGTTTTCAAGATTTTCCCAACCAAAATCACCAATTAAATGCCAAAACTAGTAAAAGATTCGGGTAATCTAACCAAAATTAAGTTAAGAAAACTTAACCCGTTGTTTTTTCTGAAAATATCCCAAAAATCGCCTCTCCCTGAGCTCCAATTTGCTAAAAATAGAAAATTAGAAGTTACATTCTGCTTAGAATGTTTTCGGGGTTACTGTTCACGCGTTCTTACTCTTCACGGGGTACTGTTCACGGTACTGTTCATGGGTACTGTATACGGGGTACTGTTCATATGTACTGTACACGAGTGCTGTACATGGATACTCTTCATGTTTACTGTACACAGATATTCTTCACGCAGGTGCGGTTACTGTTCACAAGTGCGAAAAATGCAGAAACTGCCCAAAAAATTGCAACTGCTTTTCTTTTCACTAAAAAGGCTCTAACTCCTTCATACCAACTCGGAATTCAATGATTCTTGTTCCTATGAGTCACAAATAATAATACGAACATATCCATTCAGTCGAAACTCAATTCGGAGCTCATTTACTCAGTTCAATACCCATTTCTCTCGTTAAACAATTAACTCATGTTTCGTGTCAAAATTCAATCGCGACTTGATGAAATTGAACCAAACTTTCCAGATCAATCCTATAATTCATTATCAAAATTCCGGAACATGCCAACACACCCTATAATAGACCTTTGGATCATTACATGCTTATGCTCAAAATGACAAAATCTTCCAAAAACTTTTCCAAAACATATCCGAGCCTCATGGGACCCCGACCAAACATGCCAACACACACTATAATAGACCTTTGGATCATTACATGCTTATGCTCAAAATGACAAAATCTTCCAAAAACTTTTCCAAAACATATCCGAGCCTCATGGGACCCCGACCAAACATGCCAACACACCCCATAACATAATTTAAACTTGTTCCAAACTTCGGAACGCTCAAAACAACATCAAAACATCAAATCACCCTCGGATTCAAGCCTAAGAATTCCAAAACTTCCGAAATCCTAATTCGATCAAAAAGTCGACCAAACGACATCCAAATGACCTGAATTTCTATACACGCATCACAAATGACATAACGAAGCTACATCAACTCTCGGAATTCCATTCCGACCCTCGGATCAAAATCTCACCTATCAACCGGAATTCGCCAAAATATTAACTTTGCCAATTCAAGCCAAATCCTTCCACAAACTTCCAAAGTGCATTCCGATCGCGCTCTTAAGTCATAAATCACCCAACGAAGCTATCCAAATCATAAAATTTCCAATCCGAGCTCATATACAAATAAATCAACTTTTAGTCAAACCTTTCAAATTCAAAGCTTTCAACTGAGACTGTTCTTTCAAATTCATTCTGATTTTTCCTGAAAACCAAAACCAACGATCTACATCAATCATAATACATTACACGAGGCAAGTCATGCCCAGGAACTGGCGATCAAAGTGCAAAAGTTCAAAACGACCGATCGGGTCGTTACAGATGCAAGATTGAAAAGTATGTAAGGTAAATGTGAAGAAGATACAAGATACTCAAGCACAAAAAGTTATGAATAGTCGAGATTTCAGAAATATCCATGTTTTAAGTTTAATTTACAGAGGAGACCTAGTGAAAATTTTGCAAATCTCTAAGAGTTAACATTCGAGGACGAATGTTCTAAAGGGGGGAAAGATGTTACATCCTATACTTTAAAGTTAGGATTCGTCGAAGTAATAACATATGAGTTGGAAGGGATTAAGGTTATACATGAAGATATGGATGTAAGACCCTGTAAGTTTAAAGAATTTCGGAACTACTATATATTGGCTTGATATGTATTTTCTTAGAAGTAAACCATTTTTGGTAAAAGTTGATAGATACAATTTTATATGGTTGTGATAAGTTTTAAATTAAATAGATGACATGTGGGAGTTTATATATGAAGTTTTATTTATTATAATAGTAGATAGTATTTTATCATAAGAAAAGTTATCCTTTTTCCGTTTTGAGAATTTATAGTACAAAAAGAATTTCTTTATTGTAAATATATAAATTATTTTCTCACAAGAAAGAAAGTTATCTTTTTACCATTTTAAAAAAAATAAGCATACGAAAAATTTGTACTTTTTATATGTGACTGGGAAAATTAGAATATTGAGAAAATGTATGTATTTTTACATGGATGTTTTAATAAAATAATAGTATATGTATTTATTTTATATGGTACCACATGACCTTGATAGTATGATGTATAAAGTGTATAAAAAATAAGTGAAATTTTAAGTAATTTGAGACAATTCTTAATTTTGTGGGTAATTGATTAATTAACGGGTAGCGGGGTATTACCTAATTAATTAATTAATTAATTAATACATTATTGGATAAAATTCAACAACCCAATAACATGGCAGCCCCCCCAATTTCTACATTGTGACTCATGCGTGGATCTAGTCATTTCTATCACACTTATATTTTAAAATCATTTGAACTGGTAAGGGTCTTATGGAATTAGGAGTTGTTATCTTTTTCCTTGAATCCTTGGTAATTGTCTACTACCTCAAAATTGTATAGTAGTGTAAATCTCCGAGCAGGTATTTTCTCTTCACTATTTCTTCAACTTGTTTCATACTCTATTCCACTGTCTTCTTATCTGATTCATTAGAAGGTCTAATCTTAAATGTTCAAAGATTAATCATGAATATAATAAATCTTTTTGTATTCGCTTTTCTCTTATCCGTACAAAACTGAGGGTTGTTTGTGTATAGATAAAGGGTATTTTGAATTTTTGCTTTAGCATATAGGAACAAAAAAATTGAATCTTTCTTTGTGTTTTTTTTTGGATTAGCGATCATGTATGGTAATTTTGAGACGTAAAGAGATGATATGATTTTGGGAAGATTATATGAAGTTAGTTCATTATAGGTGTATTCTTTAAAACTTGAAGTGACATGTTTATTAGAACTTTCAAGGGGTACAAAAATGGAGTAGATCAAAGTTTGTTATGCATTGACTGGGTAATTAAGTAGTATGGAGTTCGTATGGCTTGTCGTTTACCTTGACTACAGTGGCGTAGCCACCTTAGGCTAAGGGGTATCATTTATCATAAAATTACACTGTGTAGCTAAGTTAAAAAATTTATTTTTATGTATATATACTGTGCGTTGAATCCCCTTAACTTATTCATGTGTTTACTTCTTTATATTTTGATACCCTTTAGTAAATTCCTGGCTTATCCACTGCTTGGCCGTTATCTTATTTGAATACTTTAGTTGGCAATATTCGATATCTGCGTATAATATTTTCCTTTCTAAGTTTTTTTTCTATCTGTTTTGATATCATGGTCGGATGGTCCTCATAGAGGCTTGACCAAAGGAATGTTTTACTATCACAAAGTGTTTTTTGAATTTTTTTTAGACGTGCTTCAATTTGTAGAAGGATTAGTAATATAGAAGAATTCTTTCCCTCATCTGGTGGTATGATGAATTGAATTTTTGTCTAAATAAACTCACCTTGGTAGTACGATTAGATCAATGAAGCATTAGAGCTTTACACATGAGATTCTTTTCTAGCAACGGTGTTTTGGGAAGTAAACATCCACTTTCTTGTATACATGTTCTATGTGTTTCATATCAGAATCTTTGGAGGTTATTCTAGTGGGTAGGATTCTGCAGTTTTAACCTTGAAGTGATTTTAACGCGTCTAGCATATATATCTAGCTAGATGCTTGCTGATCAAAGCCATCGTTACAACCTTGGAAAGAATGTGATGAGAATGAGGGGTCATACATTTCTCTCACAACAGTGTGTTGCAGGTATGTTAAGGCTATCATTTCTTTCTTTTGGCATGATCTATACGATACAAACGTAACGAGAAAATGTATAACTTCCATAAATGACTCTATTCATAGAAGTATTAGAAGTGTCTATGTTCTTGAATTTCCATGTATCTTGTGATTATATCATTTGTTCATGGGTCTCAAAAAAATATGTAAGTTGAAAAAAGGTTTATTTCATCATATTATTCAAAGGCATTATGATCTTATGATAATCCGAAAGATTTTATTAACGTACTTTTCATGCATTGCATTCATTTAAATGTGCATTTACTCATGACTCAGACGACGTTATATATGCGTATATATGTATATATATGTATATGGGATATGGAAAAAGGTTACAGCGTTATATATGCACCACCACCTGATCAGCTGGTATATGATGGTGATGTTGCCCACAGTGGCTGAAATATGACTCAGACGGCGTTATATACGCGTATATATGTATATATATGTATATGGGATATGGAAAAAGGTTACAGCGTTATATATGCACCACCACCTGATCAGCTGGTATATGATGGTGATGTTGCCCACAGTGGCTGAAATATGACTCAGACGGCGTTATATACGCGTATATATGTATATATATATATATATATGTATTTGGGATATGGGAAAAGGTTATGGCATTATATACGCACCACCACCTGATCAGTTGGTATACAATGATGATGTTGCCCATAGTGGCTGAAATGATATGATGGGATGCCCTCAGAGGCTTGATAATGATATGTACGTACAGACCTATGAATTACATGACATTTACACGCATATGCATGACGTTATAAATATTTCATAATTTACAGAGCTATCTAGACTTACAGGTTGAATATTTTACTCCATGTTCTTTATATACTGATTTACATGTCTTACATACTCAGTACATTATTCATACTGACGTCTTTTTATTGGGGATGATGTGTTTCATGCCTGCAGGTATAGCTAATCAGTTTGACGATTCCTCATAGTAGACGAGATTCGCATTCAGCGAAGGATCAATAAGACTCCACCTCATTCGGAGTGCAACCAAGTCTATGAGTCATCGTGTCAGAGTTTTGCTACAGACTTAATGATAGGCTAGTACCCTGTCCCATTTGATGTCAAACAATCTTAGAGGATTTGTAGATGCAGGTTTATTATGTACAGTATGTCAGAGGCCTTGACAACCCATATGTATTTATGTTTTATCAACTATGGTTCATTGATATAACATTTTCCCACTTATACGAGTTGTGGCCATGTTGGCCCATGATAGTTACAAAAGGAATGAATGAGTTACAAAGTGGTTCGCTCGGGCCAATGTGGCATCGAGTGCCAGCTACGCCTCCCCAAGTTGGGGCGTGACATGTTTGATGTGTTTTGAGGGCTAGACTATGTTTGTATGGTGTTTTAGGACTTTTAGGTATGTTTTGTTGAGGTCCCCAGGGCCTCGGGTTGATTTCAGATGGTTAACAGATCGAATTGGAAGTTGGAGGAATAGCTGAAGCATTTGCAACATCTGTTGTAATCGCACCTACGGTGGGGTTGACCGTAGGTGCAGATTCGCACGTGCAGAAGGAGGAGTGCAGGTGCGGTTTGGTGAAGCTTGGCCTGCGAACGTAGGTTCAAGATTTGGCCCGCAAAAGTGGAGTCACTTCTGCAGAAGATGGAGCGCAGAAGCAGAAGGCCTGGAGCTTGAGGATCGTAAAACGGAAGAATTTTTGTAGAAGCAGACGCGCAAGTGTGGGCCATTGCTCACAGAAGAGGAATCTTGGGCTTAAGTTAAGTCCATGCCTGCGATTTTTTTGCCGCAGGTACAGAAACGTAGAAGCAGTGAATTCCTCGCAAACGCGAAGATCGCTGGGCAGAAAAGAAGAATTTCGAGTGTTTTATCCCATTTTCATGTTGGGACTTTGAGAGATCGAATTTGGGCAATTATTTGAAGGATTTTCAGAGAAAGCTTATGGGTAGCGATCCTTAACTCCTTTATGGTTATATTCCACTAACCTACAGCTGACTTCATCATTTAACTAAGGAATTTGGTTGAACATTTAGGGGAAAAGTTGGAAAGTTCTTCAACTAAGATTTTGAGTTTTGATTCAGATTTTGATATCGAATTTGGATAATTGTGGCACAAGTGAACTCGTGAGTGAATGTGTGTTCTTATTTTGTGATTTTTTTCCGAATTCATATTTAGTTTCTTATAGTTATATTTATGGTATGTAATTACTTTTGGCTAGATTTGGACCATTTGGTGTGAGAAAATTGTGGAAAGGCATTATTACTGATTGATTGAGCTTGGTTCGAAGAAAGTGGCTTGCCTTACTGATTCATTGACCTGTTTCATCTTAATTGGTTTATACTAGCATGTGTAGTTATCCTATTTAGCCTAGTACAACATGTCTACATTTCTCAAATGCTTATCTGAACTCTATGCAGCATGCTTAGTGGATTCCTTGCTTTTTCCTTGACTTGTACTTAGTCTAACTGTAGGATTCTTGCTGTAACTGTTGTTTCCATTATTTTTGAGCTGTATATTTACCTTAGGACTACGAGACGGTATCTCGAGAGATACCCCCTGCATATTTACTTTTGGACTACGAGACGGTATCTCGGGAGATCCCCCCTCCTGTATATTTATTTTTGGGCTACGAGACGGTATTTTAGGAGATCCCCCCTGCATATTTATTTTTGGGACTACGAGACGGTATCTCGGGAGATCCCCCCTCCTGTATATTTATTTTTGGGCTACGAGACGGTATTTTAGGAGATCCCCCCTGCATATTTATTTTTGGGACTACGAGACGGTATCTAGGGAGATCTCGTGCTATTCTATCCCTATGTACTGAACTATTATTTTTCTGTGATTTCCTCTTTGTTAAATTCCAGTCTCTTATTACATTGCAATATATTCCTATCTTATTTAGTATATATATATACCAGTAGGGCCCTAACCTAACCTCGTCACTACTCGACCGAGGTTAGGCTTGGCACTTATTGTGTACCGTTGTGGTATACTCATGCTACTCTTTTGCACATATTTATGTGTAGATCCAGGTACTTCCTGTCAGTCACGTCATCAGTGAGCAGAGATAGTTTGGAGACTTCAAGGTATATCTGCCGTGTCCGCAGACCTCGGAGTCCCCCTCTATTACCTCTTATGTCATTTACCTTTCCGTACTTTTCTTCTTAGACTCTAGTATATATAAAGATATTAGTTTTTCTTTTGTAGCTTGTGACTTATGATGTTCCAGGTTTTGGGAATACTGTGTATATTCGAGAGTTGGTTATTGTACATGTGGAGCGACATTTATACCAGTTAATTTATTATATGTTGCAGTTAGTTGTTAAATTTATGCTTTCATTTTCATTATTTCGCATATGTTAGGCTTAACTAGTCGTAGAGACTAGGTGCCGTCACACATCTTATGGAGGGAGTTTGGATCGTGAAACTAGGTAAGCCTAAAACATGCTGATTTAATAATAGAATAAAAATATTTAATCATTTATCATAAACTATTAAATGACATACATAGCTGCAAGCAGGCCAATAGTTTTACATTTCCCAAAACCGGTAGTACGGAGTCATAAGCACTACTAAAACACACTAGAATTTCTAAACACAATACTGTTTTGAATTATAATTTAACAGTAGCATAATGAAGTAAGATGGTGACTCTGAGGCCTGCGAATGTCAAGCAGGTATACCTTGAATTATCCCATCGCACAGACACATCTCTCAACAACACAATCTAAATACCTGGATCCACACAGAGATATGCAGAAGTGTAGCATGAGTACACCACAATGGTACCCAGTAAGTATCAAGCCTAACCTCGGTAGAGTAGTGATGAGGCCAGGTCAAGACACCTACTAGAATTAGAAACCTGTTCAAGATAACATAAGCTAACAATGGAAAGAACATCAATGTAAGACAAATGGCGGAAAAATTATTGATTTACAACCAACAATGAAGTAATAGAAACATAAATGGCAGCAAGTAGTAAACGAGTAATAAAGAAACAACATAATCATAACATCGATGAGATGTAAATGAACTCAAATAATCAAATCGCTCCCTATGCACAGACTTACAACAAGAATTACCCCGAGGAACCATACCTCATAAACCACAAGTCATGGACCACAATTTTCAAATCTTACACATATGGCACCTCGTGCCCACATTAACAATCACCTTCGCACGACAAAGCCCACATGCTACCATGTACTTTGCAATTGTGATAAAGATTTATTTAGATGAACGAAAGATATATTTAAACACCATATAACATAATAATAATCTTGAATAAAGTAAGGTGTCAAATGAAATAACGAGTTTATTTTAGGAATCAAGTAAAGTAAAATAATATACAATTTGCACGAAATAGAGTATAAGAAGGGTTTTGTTTAGAAATCAATAAAATTGAGTAAAAATATCATTTTTAAGCAAAACAAAACATATGTTAAATAAACGAATTAAATATAAAATTTGCTAAGGAAAAACATGATAACAATATTAAGTAAGGTAAACATCTAATAAGGTGGTGAGTATAATTTAAGAACCCAATTATAGTGAAAGTGCGATAATCATTTAGAATAATAAGGCACCGAGTGAGATAATCAGTTCTATCTTAAGAGGCACATAGAATAAAACATGTTAATAATTCTTTTATTTAAACCATTATGTTACCAATAACTCAACATAATATGATATAGTGACTCCACGTAATTAAATTCACATTGGCAATCAATTCACCAAGTTACAACGAAGGCACATATTGGCATGTTAAAGCAACACAACAAATTGTGTAGAATACATGACTCACACAAGAAACCACAATCGTTCCAACACCAAAATAACAACAAATAACCAAACACAATAAAAATACAGATCAATAATGAAGGAAGAACAATGACCGTTCAAGTCAACAAGTTGTTCCAACATGGAATGTACAATGAAAATCACAATCAAGGTACCGCTTCACATTCACATGTCACAATTTGAATCACAATATTTCCTTATATAGCCGCGTGAGCCTTGCATTTAGTTTTGGAAAATATTTTTTTTTCCTGAAACAGCTACACGCGTTTTAGCCCACCTTATCTCATCGTGTGGCTTCAAGTAGTTACCCTACTAGCAACACGTGTAACAAGCCCACCTTATATCACTGCATGCGTGTTAACCCCTAGCCTTATTCCACCGCATGAATATCAATATCACAACACCATCACAACTCGCACCACAAGTTCCCATATGCCACAACTTGCCACAAAGTCAACAACACCAATATTTCCACAACAAATAGCCCATGGCTCAACCACAATGTGTACAAGAATTTCAACAATAATAAAATGAATGGGAATTCTCACCAAGGAAAGGTATCTCAACAATTAATAACTTCGCCTCAATGTGATAATGACTATTACAACTTCAACACCAATAACTCAACAAGATGATATTTCACGAAATAACAACTTCAATTAAAAGTGATTCGACAATTAAGAGGTAACAAGACAATAAAGAAGTAAATAACTTCAACTAGAGAATATAAGAGCAAAAAACAAGTAAGAGTAGAATAAGTGCTAACAACGTCAAATAGAGCATGTAAGAGTAGAGTAACAATGAGAGATATAACATGTTATGATAATTTCATTAAATAAATGAAAAAAGTCTAGATAATCTAAATCGGTCAAATACCACATATAGCCCGGGTAGCCACTCATCACCTTTCGTACACGGCTTTCACATAATACAAATAGCAATATCAACCAAATCCTATGGGGTAGTTTCCTCCACACAAAGTTAGGCAAGATACTTACCTCAACCAGGCACACTCAACCCTCCGAAATAGCTTTTCCTCTAAAATTCACCTCCACATGGCTAAAATCTAACAAAAAAGACTTAATAATATCAAACAATGCAAGAGAAATCAATTACAATAAATGAAGCTACGATCTTTACATTTTTTCCAAAGAGTCAACAAAAGTCAACATCGGGCTCGCCTTGGATTCTGAATCTAAACTTACCCTAGCAAAGTCCGAACCAATATAAGCTCACACGAATGAAAACTGACTTAATCAGAGCCCGATAGATCAACCAATTCGCCAAAACATCGCTCTTAGGTGTTCATAACCCAAGAGTCCAACCCCCAGTAGTTGGGTCCCATATCTCCCGAAATACTCCTCCAAAAATCGCCAAATTCGAGTAC